AGACCATCGCGTACATCAAACTTCCAATGGCTGAAGCATAAGGAATTTTAGCCATGAACTCTTCTTCTTCTTTTGTTTGAGGAGACTGATCCTTGGATAGACGAAAATGGCTGGCCAAAGGTGTACTCACTGGTTTGGCCTTGTCCATCTTAAATCTCTGCAAAACACGATTGATGTACTCTGCCTGAGATAACTGCAAAACTCCCTTTTGCTTATCTCTCGTGATTTGCATTCCAAGAATCTTCTTTGCTGGGCCTAAGTCCTTCATGTCAAATTCTTTTGACAACTGTATCTTTAAATTTCTTATGTCTTTCATATTTGATCCTGCTACCAACATGTCATTAACATAAAGTAGCAAAATGATATAGCTGGACTCATACTTCTTAAAGAAGCAATAGTGATCAGCATTCCACTTCTGGAAACCTTCCTTGTGCATGAAGCTATCAAACTTCATATACCACTGTCTTGGAGCTTGTTTCAGGCCGTACAAGCTTATCTTCAATTTGCATACCATATCATTCTTTCCTTCTGAAAAACCTTCAGGTTGGTGCATATAGATCTCCTCATCTAGGTCTCTGTGAAGAAATGCAGTCTTCATGTCTGATTGCTCTAGGTAAAGCTCTTCACTAGCCACAATACTTAACACAGTCCTGATAGTCTTGAGCTTTACAACTGGAGCAAAGATTCAGTATAGTCAACTCCTTCTTTCTGCTGAAATCCTTTGACAACCAGTCGAGCTTTGTATCTCCTGGAACCATCATAGTCTTCCTTCATTCGATACACTCATTTGTTGTGAAGTGCTTTCTTTCCCATAGGTAACTTGACTAGTTCCCATTGATTTGAGATCAAAGACTTCATCTCGTCCTTCATGGCAAGCTCCCACTTGCTAGCATCCGGGGTTTGACAAGCCTCCTTATAATCTTTAGGTTCTCCTCCATCAGTCAATAACATGTAGTCCATGTATCTCATGTTAGACAAATGGGGCCGAGAGGACATTCTCAATACAGGAGTTGGAGTAAAAGATTCTGATTGCTCATCGCTTTCTTCATTTGATTCCTCTGAGCGCGGATTCCTTATTATAGGAATATTTGTGATATCTTCCACCTCAGTGTAAACTGGCCCACTTGTTTCTAAATTGTTGGCACTTGTGTTATGCCGGTCCTTATATATCACTCTTCCATTAAAGATGACATCTCTGCTGCGGATCACCTTTTTGTTTCATCATCCCATAAGCGGTAACCAAACTCATCTTCACCACAACTAAGAAAAGTACATTTCTTTGATTTTGGATCAAGTTTGTTTCTACCTTGATCACTGATGTGCGCATATGCTACACACCCGAAAACTCTAAGATGTGAGAGTTTTCTTCTTTTCCGCTCCATACCTCTTCTGGTAACTCGTGATCCAATGGTACCGATGGACTTCAGTTGATCAAGTAAGTTGTTGTGTTGACTGCTTCTGCCCAGAACTGCTTTGGTAGGCTTGACTGCATACGCAAGCTTCTGGCCTTTTCAGTCAACGTTCGATTCATACGCTCAGCTACACCATTGTGTTGAGGCGTACCAGGCACGGTTCTCTCCATTCTGATCCCGTGCTCATAGAAAAACTTCTTGAATCTAGTGGTTATATATTCACCACCATTTTTGGATCTGAGCTTCTTAATTTTCAATCCGGTCTCATTTTCTACCATAGCTTTCCAAATCTTGAAAGCTTCAAATACTTCTGACTTGTGTTTCAGAAAGTAAACCCATACTTTTTTGGAGTGATCATCGATAAAAGTCACGAAATATTGCTTCCCACCAACGGATGAGACTGTGGTTGGACCCCAAACATCAGAGTGGATGAGCTCAAGCTTTTCCTTCTTTGGAGTTCTTCTACTTGTCTGAAAGCTGACTCTCTTTTGCTTTTCAAGTATACAATCTTCACACATGTCAATTTCTGTTGAATGGAGGTCTGATTTTCCTTTCGAGTGCATGGTCTTCATCCTTTTTTCACTCATACGCCCCTCTTCATCCTTTTTTCACTCATACGCCCAAGTCTTTGGTGACATAGATTGAGATTTTCATTTGCTGCAACTGCAATCAGATGACATGCTCATGTTGTCTTGTAAAGAGTACCACTCTTTTTGCCTCGAGCAATTGTCATCACACCATTTGAAATCTTCCAATCATTACCATGGAAGATTGTCGTGTAGCCTTCACTGGCTAGCTGGCCTACAGAGATTAAATTCTTCGTCAGGTCGGAAATATGTCTGACATTTTTCAATTCTCATACAGACCCGTTCAACTTGATTTTTATTGTACCTTTATCTACAACCTTACATGATTGCTCATTACCAAGCTAAACTTTACCAAGATTTCCAGGAACATAATTTTCGAATAGTTCCTTCTGTGAGGTAGCATGAAAGGATGCTCCAGAGTCTAACATCCAAGACTCTTTTCTCCAAAGAACATATAAGCATATCTCCTCCTGAGGCTGAAGCAATATTTGCCTCTTCTGTTGGCTCCTGGTTCTTTGGTACACTCTTGCACTGGTTTCTATAGTGCCCGGTCTTCCCACAATTCCAGCACTCGATCGACTTCGAGTTTTGGAAACTACGATGATTTCTGGACTTGGATCTTCTTCCCTTTGATTTGTTGTGTCCGCTTTCTTTGGTTGAACTTCTTCCTCTAGACTCTGTATGCAAATACAGAAGAGATTGATGGTTCACCCGACTCGCCGGATCTCTTCACTGAGAACTAAATTTTAGACATCATCAAATCTCAGCTTATTGCTGCCCGATGAGCTACTCACAGCTGTGACTGTAGAATTCCAGCTTTCTGGTAGAGAAGATAAAAATATTAAAGCCCGTACTTCATCATCGAACTCGATCCCAACTGAACTCAACTGAGTTGTAACAGTGTTGAGCTCATTGAGATGATGTGCCACCGGAGCACCTTCGGTCATCCGCAGGTTGAACAATGGCCTCATCAAATGAACTTTGTTTGAGGCTGATGGTTTCTCGTACATGTTGGAAAGAGCCTTCATGAGGCCTGCTGTCATCTTTTCTTTTGCAATGTTATAAGCAACATTACGGGATAACGTCAGCCGAATGGCTCCAAGAGCTTGTCTGCAAAGGAGACTCCATTCTTCCTCATTCATATCCTCTGACTTCTTTCCTGTGAGTGGTTGATACATATTTTTTTGGTACAAATAATCCTCGATCTGCATCTTCCAAAAGCCAAAGTCCACACCATCGAACTTTTCAATTTTCATTTTTCCTTCGTCTGCAGCCATCACTTCGACTCTGATCTGACTTTTCTGTCGGATCGTTTCAGCAATTTTTGTGAACTATAGTGTTTCAGAACACGTCGGTTAATGAATTTGTAGCGTCGACAAAATTAGAACTATTCACGTTTTCACTATTCACTGAATAATAATACCACACAAAAATTACAGAATTAACAATCTGGCTCTGATACTAGTTGTTGGGAAAAATAAGTTGAATTTTCCATGAAGTCGGATTTATAAAAGTGAAATAAAAAAAGAAAAATTGGACACACCAAATTGATAACGGAGTTCAGCCAATAATGTCTACGTCGTCGAACTACTGCAGATATTTTATTAAGAGAAAAATAAATACTTACAAAACACTGTCAAACTCGCTCACAACTCACAACTCAAATACACACAGAAGCTAAGAGCATGTTTGTTTATGGAAAATTTTGGTTTTGTTTAGATTTTTTGGTTTGGTTTGATTAATTTTGAAAAATGTGGTATAGTTAGGTGTTAGTGGGTATATTAAAATAATATTTAAAATAAAATAATTAAAATTGATTTGATGTAAAAGTATGAGAGAGATGATTTGAAGTGATAGTTAGTTAAAATAATGTGAGTGGATGAATAGTGAACTAAGGTTGATGTGGTGTGTATGATTGGTCACACCGCACGTAGATAAGTTAACTTTTTCACCCCATAAAGTGCGAAAGACATTGTGCGATAAATATGCGATAGTTGCGCGATGACATTGTGCGAAAGTTAAAAGTGTGAAGGTATTCGCATATCCCTTCGAACTTTCTGGGGTGGAAAAAGTTAAAGTGCGAATGCATTGCGCGATGAATATGCGACAGTTATGCAATTGATATGCGACAGTTATGCAGTCCATTCGCATAACCTTCGCACTTCCCGGGGTGAAAAAAAGTTAGATTGTTAGTGGGCGGTGTGAAAAACTTAATGTATCTTTGTATTGGGGTGAAAAAGATTTTTTTCCCTAGAAATAAGCAACAAATCCATGGCACAAACACTACTTAAGAAAGTAGAAATAATACATAAATTTTTAAGTNAAAAAAAAAAAAAGAATACGTGAACGTGTAAAATATTCTAAATAAAATATGCAAGAAATAAGGCACCAAGAGTTAACGTGAAAAACCTCCAATGTGGAAGAAAAACCACGGGACAAACTCCGTACAATTCCACTATATTGTCGAGATAATTACAATATCTTTTCACACTCTCTTATACTAGAGATGTAAAATATAGTGTCCCAGTGAGACCTCACTCCTATTCAAATATTCCAAACAAGGAATAATAGAGATGATACCTAACCCGGTGTATTTTTCTCACACTCACAGGATTTATTCAACACTCTATTTTTCTCTCATAGAAAATCTAACACTCACAGCTAGATGTTTCTGCTCTTTTTCTTCTCTTTCTTGGTGTATTTTTCAGCACTTGGTTTAGCACTATTTATAGAGGAGAAATGCTCCCAAATTGTCAAAGTTGGCAGCCCAAAGCAGCCATCAATTTCGGCTCATTTAATGCCCATTAATGAAAAGGCTGTTGGTCAACAAAGTTGGCTGGATGCTGACAGCACCTACATAGTTAAATACTAGAAATAAGCAACAATAAACAAGCAATAAGAAACAAGAAAATGAAAACATCCATCACTCTTTGTCTTCCTCATCTTCATCATTTTCCTCTTCCTCTTCGTCCTCAAAACTAAATTTTTCATTTTCATTGAATCATTGCTCTTCATTTTCTTCCTCTAGCAACTTCAAGTCATCTTCTACAAATTCTTTCTCTTCATCAATTTGTCTTAGACTTGAGCCTTTACGGAAGGAAATTGGCTTTCTCTTTTCCAAGTCTATTACTTTCCCCTTTCCCTTATCAACCTCTTTGGACTTGAAACTTAGAGCTTTTTTCCTAGTTCGATACGTAGGCTCCTCCGAGCCACTAAAGCCTTAGAAACCACATTCCAAGTCAAGTCGAACCCTCAAACATCAAATCATCATCATTACCATCACTTTTTCCTTCCATTTTGCCAAGTAACCATTCATTTGACTCTTCAGTGTCATTTATAGGATCAATCTGATCACGTCCATCATATCGAAGTCTCAAAGCACGATTATATTTCACATACACCAAATCATTCAATTATTTTTTATTGAGCCTATTCCCTTTTTTGCTATGAACCTACAAAATGTAAGATAGAAAAAAACCAAGTCATTATTTCCATCTGATCAATTTATTAAAAAGAAAAAATATTTTATGAAATACTTACATGCTAAAAAATGCTCCAATTGTGCTCGAATCCTAAAGCACTACACGTGAGGCTTAACACTTTGATGGAAAATATTCTCAATTTCGGAGGTTGTGTCCCACGCCACCACTTCACCGAAGATATCGAACACCTTTGTCTAATCGTCATTCCCCTCCCGAAACTCCCTGTGAACCTTGAATAAATTCCAACTTGAGAGTAGATATTTTCTTGCTCGCTAAAGTTCGGGATCAATCTCTCCACACATAAAATGAATCCATCCCCAATCTCATCCGAAATATATAATGAGGTATAGGTAGAAAGAAATTGTGGATTCAAATAATGAGCGGCGGCGTGTAAGGGCTTATGGAGTTGACTATTCCATCTCTTATCAATGATTTCCCATGCATCCTTATACTTTTCTTCTTTCCCATCAAAAGCATCACGAATTGCTTCATTTGCCTTGTCCATGGCTTCATAAATGTAGGGCATTGCTAGCCTTTTTTCCTCGTCCACCATTCTTAACACATGGACTAAAGGGCTGAAATTTTTAGAATTGTCAAGGCATTATTCTAAAATCGAATTGAGAAAATGACTGGTAATTTTCACCCCACCGGCTTCTTTCTTGTTAACTCAGCCACCAAATTTGACAAAAGGGCAGCCCAAATTCTTGAAAAATTGTAGCAATTGGGCTGTTGTTTTTGTTGAATAAGTGAGTACACATATGTTGAAAAAAGGTGTACTCTTCCTCTATAAATAGAGGAAATTTGATGAACGGAATACAACAAAAATACAACATCCAAAAAGAGAGAAAATAAAGAGAAAAAGTGTGTGAGCAAGAAGCAAGAATTTTAGAGCATGTTTGTTTATAAGATTTTTCAAAAAAATTTCAACATTTTAACTTAACCACTTTTTTTTTTTAACTCAAGTTTAACTCAACCCCGCTATCATCAATATTATCAATATAATTAAATAATATCAATCAAAAACTTAATACATATCCATAGTGGGGTGAAAAAGATTATTTTCACATTTAACAATGTGTGTGCTAATTTTTATGTATTATTTGTACTTCCTTAAGTGGTTTTGGTGCTATGGACTTGTGTTTCATTTGTGTTCTTGCCTTTCTTGACGATATTTGATGATTTATCATTTGAATATAAATATATAATTGCAGAATCTATAATATTGTTTTGCTACATTTGGTGACATGTGTAGCTGAAGCTTCGCCATGGCGAATCACGTCGCCATTCACCATTTACAACTATGAATATAGTGTTGGCTAGACTGAGGGGAAGTTCGAGTTGAATAAGTCCAAGATGTATTTTCGTGCGCGCAAACCGATTTATTAATGAAAGAGCTTTTAGGGGAGTGGAACGCTTCCCAGATAAATTTTTAAGTTTATTTGCTTCCGATTTTAATTTCGGTGTTCGAACACACTCTGCATACTATATTTTACTCCCCCACCTTCGTTTCATAATGTATCGACATAAATATTAATCTAAAATCTTAAAAGTTGCCATAAATATGATTTGAAATCGATACACCCATAGGCATGTACAACTACGAAAGTTATTGCCTTCAATTGTGCCAACTATAAATCTTAACTAGGGTCACTATATTTAAATATATGGATAAGAATTTAGAGAAATGCTACATTGCCAACTTAGTGTACAACTAAGTTGACAACATAAGTGGAAACATCTACTTGTGTATTTTTCAAGAATTTAATTTGAATTTAATTTGAATTTCGTGTACAACCTAGTTGTACACTAGGTTGACTATGTATTATTTTTCAAGAATTTAATTGAATATTCCAGGTAGAGTCACAATGGAAATAACGATGTTCTATATATAACCCAAGGACATAAAGCAGACAATATCAGTATCACCGTAAAGATATATAGTTAACCTTTTCATTTATACATAATTTTTTGGTGCGGTCTTTTTTATGTTCAAATAAATACATATAAAACCTACGGACTATCTGATTAGATGTCGAAGCTAGCATGAGTATGATACATGTTTCAGTTGATGTACATGCAAAACAACAAGTTCCGGCCATGCTCCCATAGCTAATACGAAAAGATGGATGTCAAATAACAATTCTTACCCAGCTTTTCCTCGTGCCCCTTGCTCCAAAATCATAAACAAATATATAGTTTTCTAAGCCTTTCCAATGAACTCCACATCGAACAACAGAACTGAATCAGGCGGGATAATGCATGATCCTGCACCAGCACAGTACTCAATTCATAAATCAATTCAGAAACTTTATACAAATTAAATTCCTCTTCCGAAATTCATAATAGCTCATCGAGGTTCTAATGTCATGCTATTGCCTATTTCACCCTCTGAATCGTAAAATAATGTCAAGTTTAGGAAATATACAGAAATGGCAGCAATATTTTCGAGAAATAGTTGGAGTCTTTTCGTAATTTGACTAAATCTTGGTAGAAAAGATAGTTTGTCTATGTACCTCCTCTACAGCCTGCTCCCCTCGTACCATATGCAAGTTCAGGAGGAATTCTCAATTGTCGTTTTCCTCCTATAAATGATCCAATAGCATAAATGTTACAAATCTACTGCAGCTAACGTGAGATGAAATTGAACAGAAAACCAGTTGATCCATTTTTCTTTCCCCACAAAGAACTACAAATCATTTTTTACCAGCAAGCATGGCTGGAACTCCATCTCCGCCTACAATTCCCTCGTCCCATCCTTTGATCACCTACATTATACCCATAATCAACAAACGAACATACATATAATACATATAGGCATTGTAAAAAATTTATCCAAGTTCATGATGTTTGCACGTGTATGTCCATTTATGTCAGATTTTGCATAAGCCTGCACCTTAATACCCGATGAGTAGTTTGATGTAGTAACTGACAAATATCAACGACAACTAAACGTGTTTTTCTCTCTCTAAAATGTGTTCATCTTTAAATGTCTTGAATAATTTACAACAATCACCACATGGAAAGCATTACATGGGACTCATTTAGTACTATTCCTCAATTAGAAAGCATAACATACTAATTGTATAGCACTAGTATAATGACATTGTTCTTGTCTTATAAAAGATGCTAGTAACATATTCAAAATATCTTCATAGGTACTCTAGTTACGCGGAAGCTCAAGAAAAGCCTAATGATCAACAAGCACTCATATGCATTAGTTGAGCTTCAGTCAATGCTACTACAGTTATTTAGAAACTTACGTATTTTGTCCCAAATTACCTGAGTTTGCTCGGCATGTTTGTGTGGACTTTAGTTTTGGATGGTTACACTAGTCTAATTAAAATATTTTTTCTTAGACTATTAAACAAAACCGTGAACCGGGCCATTGTGCAAATGACATAACTCTAGCATTGTATGCATAAGCACCATACAAGCATGAAATATCTGATGACCAATACTAGGAAAAGTAGCGGTATGTTGTCAGTGCAGTTAGACAGTCATACTTTTCGACAAAAATGCATACTTTCAAGATCGACCATCCACAAATGTAAAACACACAATTTACCCCTTTTTTTTTGTAAGAATAACATCCGACCATAAGAGTATGTATTTTCTGATCATAACGTATAACCGCGCTTCTGCACAGCTTTCAGTTTTTCGTCTAAGCTGTAGAGAAACAGTGCATGTTGTGTTTAGCCAAATAAACAGGCAAGCCAAAAATCCCTTTTTTCCATCTTAATATTGTGCATTGATATACTTGTTAAAATAAAAGACGAGATATCCAATAAAAATATGAAATACAGAATCACAATTGGAAATCCTATCACATACCTCGCCCACACCAACACGGAATGTGAGAGGCTTTCCCCTATTGTAGCTGCTATCAAACACCGTCCCATTTTCCAGCCTCCCCACATAATGTGCCTGCCCAAAATCAACAATTCAAATCAATGCAAAAATATTAGAAATTTGGAATCCAATATCGCAATTCTTCTAAAACGTAACTGAAATTAAAAAAAAATAAAAAATAAATTGGATTACCTTAATCAGCTGGCCTTTAGTAGCTTCGGGTCCGGTACCAATAACCTTGTCGCAGAACGCCAGCCCTGACGGAGCTGCCGTTAGCTCGCACGGGTCCGCGGTGGCACCACCTCTATCGGCCGCCGCTGGCTCCGGCAGAGGGTTAAGAAGCGGAAGGAAGCTGAAGCCGAGGCCGGTACCAACGGCAATTGTTTCTCTTCTGCTTAAAAAGGGCGAATTTGTTTTGAAATGTTTGCTTTCGTCAAATTTGACGGCGTAAAATTTGTTCGGCAATCCTGATAGGGTTGTGAGATTATTCAAGGGAGTGTGTGCGCCGATGGAAAATGGAAGTGAGATCATTTTCAACTAATTGTGGAGCAGCCACAGAACTGGCACGAGATAAACCAGGATCAACGAACTGTCTGGATAACATTGTTTGTTTAGCCACTGAAAATGTACGATAAAAATCGAGAAATTTTTACCTGGCCAACGTGCACATCTCTTAATTATTGCCACAATGGATCAATTTGTTAGTTTTTTGGTTGACTATTCTTTACGTTGTTTCTAACGTTGCAAATAAGACTATAAGAGTGCTCAATTTGTTTCTAACGCATAACTAGAGCAATTTGTGGCCCTCTTTTTGACTATTTTTAACGCATAACATATTGGTTGACTATTTTCGCTCTCTCTCTCTCTTTTTGTACAACTGTATGCTCTCGACTTATGGAGGCATTCACACTTATTTATCAATAGTGTATTGACATGTGTCCTACAATAAATACAATTTGAACAGGTGTCAATCGACTTATTGAGTCATTCACACTTATTTATCAATAGTGTATTGACACGTGTCATGCAATAAATACAATTTGAACATGTGTCAATGGGATGGCTCGACTTATGGAGCCATCCACACTTATTTACCATTTGAACAGGTGTCAATGGGATGGCTCGACTTATGAAGCCATCCACACTTATTTACCAATAGTGTATTAACACGTGTCCTGCAATAAATACAATTTGAACAAGTATCAATACATTAAGCTGTGAATGACTCCATAAAAAAACCATCTGATGGCTCCACAAAATTTTTGATTCACACATAATAATCGCATAATTATGATATTTCTATACTTATGCGCAGATATGCATATAACTCAATTCGCATAATTTTTCGCAAGTGAAAAAACTAAATTGTCAGCAAACAGTGTGATAAACATAATATAACTCCATACTGGAGTAATAATAATAATAATTAAAAAAAACTATTTTCACTTACACTTTTATGCATGAGTTATTGGGCCTCAACTTAGTCCTGTGTCAAAAATTTATTGCATATCATGTTTGAACTTTATTATATGTCGAACCTGCTTACCATCGTTAAATTCGTAATAAAAATGATAATCTATCTATGAGTGCATCTTGGGTAACCCGACAAGAAAAAAAAAAAAAAAAAAAAANAAAAAAAAAAAAAAAAAAACCTCGAAGCCCACAAATTTCAGCACGGTAGTAACTCAGATTGCCGAAAATCCCAAACAGCTTCCACAAAATAACTCAAGAATAGAGAGTACATTATGAGCATACTATATCATGGCCAGGATATATACCATAAGTGGGCCTAAAACGCAGATTCCCTGGTATAAATCATAGGTACACCAAATTCGAGCTGTTTATTGCAAATTCCCAGTCGTAAAACTGGTTCCACCAACTAAAGAGAACCACCTCTCAAAGCAAGGACCAAGTGAAGAACAGAGCCACCTTCAATATTGTAGTCTTTGGCAGTTTTGTCATCCGCCAGCTGCTTGCCAGCATAAATCAGCCTGTCACACGAACGATACACCATCATTACAGATTTTAGGGAACTACAAGATTTGTCCGGGAAATAAATGTAAATACCAAATCTACTAGATTCACTTCATATAACAAGGAATACTCCAAACATCTAGTGTAAGGACGAATGTGATAGAAATCAGAATATTCTGAGCAAAAGGATAAATTTTGGCAACTGTACCAGTCTGGTATTAGTTCTTAACCGTCACAGGTCCAAATTAAAGATAAAAGCCAAATTACCCTTGAAAATCATCATGTATAATCAAATGAAGAATACAGTGTACATCAGGAAATAATTCAGCTATCTATATCTATATCTATATCTATATATCTATATATATAAAGAGGTTGTTGGTAAAATCATTTTTAGAAACTTTGACCAAATAAATATAATGTTTGACTTACTATCTATAGACATTTTACAAAAGCATTACAACCACAAAAAAAGGGAACGGAAATGTTGTTTAAAAATGCTTAAGAGATTTATCCCATAATGAATATTAGTAGATCAAATCCCATTTAATTTGCTAATACAAATCATTTGTCATTTTCACTCCAACAAGGTAACAGTATATCTCCATATTTTTCAATTTCACTCCGACAAGGTAACAATATATCTCCATATGCATTATCTCTTTTTTGTATTATTTTGACAAAATATATATAATAAATATTATTAACTTTAAAATATAATTTTAGAAATGTATTAATTTTTTTGAATTTTGTGATACTAGATACATGTTTTAGTAAATAAAATAATCTTTATATAAATATTGTTATATTAATTTAAATTTTTATATTTATTAATTGTATGATTATAATGTAAATAATTAAATGTGTGTAAAATAATATATCTAATTTAGTTATATGTTGATATTAAAAAAAAAAACTATCTATCTATAGATATAAAAAGGTTTGATTATTTTTTAAATAGTAATTATTTCCCTCCAAAAAAAATCTATTTACTATTTTGGGAAATTAATTTAATAATTTATGGTATATATCAAATGATCACTTATGGAAATTGCGGCTCATTATTTAAGGAAGTAATTAAACTATATTTTAAGATACCTTAATTACTCAAATCATGTGAATTAGTTAATATTAATATATGGTATAAAGTGGACAAATTTATTTTTGGTATTGATGGTTATTTCTATAGTAAATAAATTAATCAATATATGGTATAAAGTGAGATAATTTATTTAGGTGATTTTATGAATGTTTTTTTGGTAGGAAATTTGTTGAAAACTTAATCAATATACGGTGTACTTTTTTTATGTAATGCGCTTGCTAATATATTAGTTTTTAGAAGTGAGTTTCAATTTTTCGTATGAAATTAACATAATAAAAGTACTGTAACTCCGACAAAATATTATGAATTGATATTTTGATATCATGTGCGTGTAGCGATATACAAAGAGCTCTGATCAATTTCTTTTTATATAATTAGTGGGTCTCGATTTAATTCATTTACTGTTATGGCATTTCAAATATTTTTTGTGTGAAATGCATTGTTCATTTTTTTTTAACATGATAAGGAGCGTCGATTTTTTTGTCATAAAAAATCTTATGACTGATTGTTTTTACTCAACTACTTAAATATTTCGATTTGGATATTTTATATAAAAATAAATTTATTTTAATTAATGAAACAATATAAGTTTTATATTTATACTAATTATTCACATAGATTTTTAAATATATGATAAAATTTTACCAAAATAATTATTTTATGGAATTACGTTATAGTCAAATTGAATTTTTGAATAAAAAATTTGAAATGACACATATTTTGAAACGAATATAATGTAATTTATTATTAGTTATGTGCAACGCGCGGTTGTGTTCTAATTTTAAATAGACGTTTTTATGTAATTTTGCATAATTTAAATTTTATATAATATTTTCAATAAATTAATATAGGTACATTGTATTAGTATTGATTCCATGCTTTTAATTTATAAATATTATTTAATGAGAATTTTTAATTTATAAATACTAATTAATATCTTTTACCCGTGCATCGCACGGGATTCATACTAGTATATATAATAAGAATTAATATTTACCAAAAATAGTAGCAAAAAATAGGTCAGAATTTAATGCAGCCTATAAATAGTAAGTTTTATAATTTTTCATAATTTTTTCTTTAAAAATCCTACAGCATGATACCTTAAATTTTGGGCTTAAGTTCATTTTATTATTTAAAAAATTCGGCTAAGATTTATTAAGTGTGAATGTTTTTATTTTTATTTTTTTCTTAGAAACCACGAACAATATTAAAATCTCGGTCTCTATATTTATAAAATCTCAATTCAAAATGTAACAAAAGTTTTAGAATCTCGGACTTTATATTGTGCCTTTAAAAAAAATATTGAACGCTAAATATATTCTTTAAATTGCATAATCAATCAATTATCTTAATTTTTTGAAAATTACTATGCTTATTTTTTATTAATATGCATAAAGTAAAAATAATTAATTCATCTTTAGATATATAATTATAATCTTAATATACTACCATTTGGTGTAGACATTTATTAAATGAATCATATTATATTTTTATTTCATAAAATTAAATATATTTAAAGAAAAGAAGAAAAAATTTTGGATCAATCGGGTGATTGAATTATGATACTGCCCAGGTTGATTGTATTACTTTTAGGTGATATTTAGAATAGTTAAAAAACTTGACACAACTTGGATGGTCTCAGGTGACTAAGTTATATATACCACACCAAATCGATTATTGAACCTAAACATAAATTTTATATTGAAAATATTTTATATTGAATGTGATATAGTCCAAATTTCAAATAATCGTATTCACAATACTTTTATGACAACATGTTTAATGATTTATGAATATTTATATATCATTTTATTAATATTTATGTGAATTAAATAATATTTTATTATAATATTTATTAATGTACAGTAAGGTTTTCAGAACTGGACCGTCATCGAAATTTTCAAGCTATTTTATTAAATCATTTGTTGTTTGTTCATATTTTAATTTATAAATATTTTAATATATATATAGTACTTTTTGTAATAAATTAAATAAAATGTGTTACTTAGATATCTAAACAATTTATAAATTCAAATGTTTAAACTAATTGATAAATAATTTATAAATCTCTATTTTATTTAAATATGTAATTTTATTTAAAATAATTTTAAATATACGATCCTACCAGTCTGGTGTTGACAGATTCGAGAGCAAGTATTTTATTCACGCGAACTGGACTGGTTATAAACCGATTCTCGGTCCATCCGGTCGGACTGTGTCCAACCTGGTTTAATTTAAAAACAATGGATAAATCATGATTAATGTTATAATACAATCGTAATATTGTTTTTCCGTGCATCGCACGGGCCACATACTAGTGAGTATAATCATGTGAGAAAAAAAAATATACATTTACAACAGAATTATTTTTATTCAAGTTTAAGGCAAATGATGGTCCCTAAAATTCATTAGACTTCAAACACAAACATAATTATGACATGACAAACCTTTGTTGCACAGGAGGAATCCCCTCTTTCTCCTCAACTCTTTCCTTAATCCGGTCAATAGTATCAGTTGGCTCAATATCGATCTCGATCTCTTTTCCTGTAAGGGTCTTAACCTTAATCATGGTACCACCTCTAAGTCTCAAAACAAGGTGAAGTGTGGATTCTTTCTGGATATTGTAATCTGCCAGAGTTCTGCCATCTTCCAGCTGTTTACC